GTGCGGAATAAAAGTTGCCAAAGTTACGTTTCCTAATGAGGGTGTTTTGCTCATTTCAAAGCATGTTGAATTTAAAAGGCATCACAAAACATTTGTGTCTGGCTTTGGAAATGCTATTTAGAACTCCTCAGTTCCTGTGGATAATGAGGTATATAAATGTGTTGTCTGATGTTTGATTCAGGATGCTTATCATGATCATTATTATTAGGCCAATTTTTTTTTATCGCCTTTTGTGCGTTGCTGATATTTTAGAGTTAGGCTTTTAATCTATAAATGATACAGTAGAGTACTTGAACTCTCTATTGTGTGTGTGGCATATTAATTTTTATAAACACTTGATGACGTCCATGGGACCGGAAGCATCCAGCACTATTTCTTTCAGAGCGCATTATCAAACACCACAGAAATCCATCCCAGCCCTGTGGGAGTGAGTTTTGGTTAAGGAGGTGGTTAAATAAAGATTTACTGATGAATGATGAATATGCCAGAGAGAAGTCAATACACCCTATCCCTCTAGGACTACTGAGCATGATAATGTTGCATTGAATATGACCTTGAAGTAATTTGGAGAGATGTTTTTTTCTTCTTCTGAAATTGTGTTGAAAAAAAAAATGTTTCTTTTATTTTGTACCTTTCAGTTCCTGCTGAGGTGAAGAAAAAAGAGGCTTGCGGCTTCATGGGAATTCTTTCTTTTTCTTTTCTTTCTGTCTCACCTTTTATTACACTAAATTTCCAAGAAATCTCTGTCATCATGTAACGGTTTTCTCAAACAGAGATCTCTAAAGAATGGTCATGGAAGGCATGAAAAATATCTTTCTTATTTGGTGCTGATACCCTGTAGCGTTTGTGTGGTCAGATGCACAAGGACACGCAATGTGGTAGAATGTGGACACTTTGTGTGGTATTGTTATTTTTATCTTTCAGGGTAAGATATTTTAAACTGTTCAATGCAGGCCATTATGTATATACCAATGATCCTCTTAATAAGTGTTTGGCCCTTTGATAAAAAGGTCTTTATTAAATTTGTTTGCTGTTTTGCTATGTGGAAACTGTTTGGCTGTGTATGAAACGAATTAACTCAGCATTGTGTGTGTGTGTGTGTGTGTGTGGGGGGGGGGGGGGGGGCGTCTGAGCAGATTTGGCTTAGTCATAGACTAAAAACAGGACACTGTTCTCTGATTTTATCCAAAGCTGAAAAACTAGCCATAAATTAGTATGATATTTACATTACATGTAGGATGATGCAGGCCTTTCAAGATTTATCGGTCAAGTGATTTATTGCTGTGACTCTAGGCTGAAGCAGAACATGATTGAAGCTCCACGTACATTTATAAAGACATTAAAGCATCTCAATATCGTCATAATCTTATCAAAATCTTTGTGTCTGTCCCTAATTGAATTAGACCATAAAAGGACCACAGGCTGCTCTGCTGTATTAAATGGATGGGACAGGCATAGCTTAGCCTGTTGTGATTTTCAGTACAGCCACTTACTATGATCATACACTTGTGCTCCTCCACAGAAAGATTTCTGATATGCCATTATGCATATCTCTTCATATTTCATTGTGGTGTGATTCCTAATTGCATTAGAAATCATTATACTTTTTTATAAGCGGTTTGGGAAGAAATGCCCAGTTAAAAAGGCACAATGTTCAGAGCCATGGCCTAACAAGCTGAACCATGAAGTTTATGTGGAAGTTTGACGTCCTGATCATGACATCGAGAACCAACAAAAAACATAAGCAAACTAAGAAAAGTTCATCTACGGTATATTTTATAGTAATACATTTAATATACTGGAGATCAGTGCATCAGTACAATGACATATTTCAGGCTGGTTACAGTTGTCTGCTATAACAATAACTGCTGACAGACATAATATAGACAGATTTATAAACAACACATGGTGTAATCAAATGTTTTATATTATATTGTTAAATATTTTGTTTAATATTATTTTATGCCATGGTAAATGTTATGTTATGTTGCTTTATGCTTTATGTTGTTAAATTTTGTTATTAACATTAATGTTAATATACCAAGAAGTAGGGCTCATGTGTTGTCTTTAGAACTGCTTCAGTTCTTGGAAGGTCATTCAAGTTCTGAAACGGATAATGGACCACATGTACAATGATCCATTTAGCAAATGCTTTTGTCCAAAGCTATTACAAATGAGACTATCTATTCATTAAGAAGAAAAGCCTCTAGTTATTTAAAGTTGTACGAAGGAGGAGGAAATCTGCTTTGCATTCTGAGCTCCTGAATTTGCCATAAAGGTTCAGGATGTTTAAATATGTTTGACTGGGGAGACGTTTGACTTCATGCTCATGTTCACGAAACACTTTTCAGTTCATCCAGCCATCTTTATGGGGGGATTATCATACAGGAATAGGGAAGCATCATTTAGGAGGAATGTTTACAATTTAGGCTGCACCTGGTATACTGTAAAATAGCTGTCATTGGATTATACAGAGCAATAATAAGACATAATGAGGTTCATGAAATGGGCTGCCCATATCATTATGAATAAACCATGTGCAATAGTTGAACAGGCAATAGATGTTGTAAGTTGCCTTCAGATATATGGATTGATAGACGGTTCTTCGTCTATTACTCTTTTGTCTTCGTCTTTAGTCAAAAGTAATTACATAACAGAATGAATAAATCAATTCTGGATAGAATAAGATTGCATAAATTGTCTATGCATTGAACATTACATTTTTAACGTGGGGAGGGGACACTGTCAAAATGGCAAAGAAAAAGGGCATCCATATGTATCTTTTAAATTCTTCTGAAACATTGATTAGGGGAACAGATTGAATTTAAATAATTTAAAATTCTGAAATTCTTCTTCTTCACCATATTTTTAAAATCTGTCAGAAATACATTTTGTGTTCCAACAAAGAAAGAAAGAAAAACGTATAGTTCACCCAAAAATGAAAATTCTGTCATCATTTACTCGCCCTCAAGTTGTTTCAAACCTGTATTAATTTATTTCTTCTGTTGAACACAAAATAAGATATTTTGAAGAATATGATCTAACGGTTGATCGGCCCCATTGACTTCCATAGTATGGAGAAAAAATACTATGGAAGTCAATGTCACTGGGGCCCATCAACTGTTTGATTTTTCAAAATATCTTCTTTTGTGTTCAGCAGAAGAAAGAAACTTGAGGGTGAGTGAATGATTTCACAGAATTTTCATTTTTGGGTGAACTTTTAAGTGGTTCATTCATATTCAGTACAGTGTTGTGAACCCAGTAATTTATTTAAAAATGCACACCAAAGTGATACAGGAACCTGATTTTACATAGTCAAAGGGCTTATTTTTTTTTTTTTTTAGTTTATTTTGTACAATTATAGCACATAAAAACAAAAGTCTTCAGGACGGAAAGTACAGACAAGAAACAGGAGGTAAATGTTAAAACAGTGATCATGAAATATACAGTTTTTCTCCCTGAATAGCAAATTACCTAAAAATTCTCCCCTACTAAAAAGGCATTTGTCAATGATATAATATAATATATATTAAAGAAATAATATGCAGTTCTTTGTTTATTTGCCAGGCATCATAATGTGTTGATTGAGGGTGGCAGGACTGAAATGTGACTGGTCACACATAGTTTAAGTGTCACACGTTAACAGTGAACATGACTGTTCTCACATGGGCCGCAGGGGCTTCTCGGAAAAAAAAAGGAAAAACAGAACCACACGGAGAATTTCACACTGGATATCTTTGTGAATTGATGTAATAAAACGCTCAGAAGCATACAGTCAGGGTTATTTTATCTTGTACAATGTTCTAAGTGAAGATGAAACAGACAGCTAAACATGCATGACAACAAGACTCCATATGAGGTCAAAGGATGCGACCTAGAAACATCTGGAGATCTGGATATTTAAATGTGTAATTATATTTCCTAAAATACTTCAACCTTAAGCCAATATTTACACATGAAAGTGAAATTTAAAGCAGAATTCCATATCTATTCTATCAGTCAGGCCTGTGTCTTAGATCAGCATATTTTACTCACTAAAGGACTTCTTCAACCTGATACGTGCCCACAAAAACACTGATTTTATTTCATATTACAAAGACATTTTATTTGACATCTGCATAAATGACAAGTCTGATGGTTCTCTCATTTGGTCTATCATCCCCCAACAACGCAAACAAAAGGCACCAATACATAACAAAAAAACATTGAATTGTCTTTAAAGGGATAGTTTGCCCAAAATTGAAAATTCTGTGATAATTTCTTATGGAACACAAACGTTTTTGCAGAATTGTACGGTGTGCTATATAAGTTTTAAAAGACAAAAAGCACCATAATAGTTTCATAAAAGTGGTCCGTATGACTTGTGCATAATATTTCAAGTTTCTGAAGTTATGCCAACCCGATCTCACGACCAATTCGTCCGAATTTGACGAGTGATTAAAAGATGGCTAATTCGTAACAATTCGTACGACCTCACTCGTACGAATTAGTACGATTTTTGCTAAAACGTACATATTTGACGAGTTGCCCAATTCGTATGAATTCGTACGAATGACCTACCCCGCCCCTAAACCTACCCATCACGTGGGTTTAGACAAATCGTACAAATTCGTACGAATGAGGTCGTACGAATTCGTATGAATTAGCCATCTTTTAATCACACGTCAAATTCGGACGAATTGGTCGTGAGATAGCGTTGGTTATGCTATAGCAAAACAAATCTTGTGTATGGATCAAGTCAAGCATAAAACAATAAGAAATACTGCATGACTTTATGCCTTGAAATTCATCACACAAGATTTACTTTTATGATCCTTTTATGATATTCTTTCTCTTTTTGAGGCTTGAAAGCCTCAGTCTCTATTCTTTGTAATTGCTTGGAAAATATGACAATTCCTCAGCACAAAATGTCATAACATGACTTGTGATGAACCATTCAAAACAACTGAACATTATACAACAATTAATAGATACATAATTTAACAGTAAAAAAAAAAAAAACCAAGACATTATAGTCACTTTTCCAGAGAGTGACAAACCACAAACATATTTGAGTGCTAATTCACTCCTTCATGCCTCCTGAAAGTTCACTGTGGCGTTTCATTTCACAGTTTTCCCCTTTGAGAAACAGTCTACGTGCAATTGACACCCGTACAGCGAGTGTTGCATTGCAGGCCTCCATGCAGTTTTCCTCAGATAGCACGTCTGCCGTTAGATGACAGTGCAACGGTGGCTGGTGTCCGGGCTGACGCTAGACCCCCCGTCGGTTTTGACGGTGGTCTTGGAAGAGCTGATCTGGGACTGTAGCTCTTTGCGATAGCACAGGCGATCGCGATAGTTCTGGGCGAATATCAGCAGCATGAGGGGGTTGATGCAGCTGTGAGAGTAACTTAAGCAGATGCTGATGTTGTACGCGTACACAAAGGCGCTGGTGGGCTGCTGGATGCTGAGGTTGATCACCTGGATGACGTGGTAAGGAGACCAGCAGACCAGGAACAGGGCGATCACCATCAGAACTGTCTTAGTGGCCCGTTTGGCCCACACCGACTGCTTGCGTTTGACCCGCCGGATGGAGCGGAACACGTGGTACAAAGTGAGAGTGTAAAATGTACTTATTATAATCAGGGGGACAATGAAACCCAGCATGGACTGGTAGAGAGTGTACCAGTACATATCTTGTGGCCCATCCAGGTTAATCATACACACATCCATGTTCTTTTTGGAGAGGACTTTAGCGTATATCATGACTGGGATGCTCAGAAGGAAGCTGCCCACCCACACCATAATGTTGATGATGATGGTCCACTGAATGGTTCGCTTTTCAGATGTAGGATGTACAATTGCAATGTACCTGGGTGGGGGGAATTAAGATGTTTAATAAGAGATCTCAATTGTTAAGTATGTGATTCCATCAGTAAATTCAAAAAAATTTCTCGAGAGTAAACTTTACAAAATGCTCAAGTGCAGGGCTATTATACTATATTATTATACAACAGAGATACGTTGAAACAATATCATATAAAGAACTTATAACAAATTTTAAAACAACTACCTGCAACCATCCATTTGCCTGGTGGATTCCAGTGCATGAGCTATAGCCTACATTTTAATATCACATTATTAAATAATATTTTAAATAAATGTAAATTGTCTTAAACATATTATGTAGCTTAATATTTGGCATTTGTAAACTACCATTCAAAACTTTGGGGTTGGTAAGATTTTTTTTTTTTTTTTTTTTTTTTTTTACAGTTTTTGAAAAAAGTCCCATATGCTTACCAAGGTTGCATATAGTATTAAATCAAAAATACAATACAACTGTAATATTGTGACATATTATTACAGTTTAAAATAATTGTTTTGCAATTTAATATATTTTTAAAAAGTGACTTATTCCTGTAATGGCAAAGCTGAATTTTCAGCAGCCAATTACTGTCACATGATCCTTCAGAAATCATTCTATATATGTTGATTTGATGCTCCAGCTAATTTTTCTTATTACCAGTGTTGATGTGCTGCTTAATATTTTTATGTAAACGTGACACTTTTTTAGGATTCTTTGATGAATAGAATGTTCAAAAGCATTTATTTGAAACAGACATCTTTTAACAGTATGTCTTTACTGTCACTTTTGATCAATTTAATACATTCTTGCTTGAATAAAATTTTAATTTCTTTAAATCTTACCGATCCCAAAATGTTGAATGGTAGTGTACATTTATGTAAATATGCAGTACATTGCTCTCCCAGATTCTGGTTTCTTTCTCATAGCTTTTTCCCTTGCCACAGCTGTCTTTGCTCACTGGGGATATAAGGCATTTTTATTGTTTTGTTTTGTTTTTTACCGTAAAACAGCTTTCTAGCAATTTGTAGCTGACTTGTCTTGACTCTCGGAAAGCAAACAGGTCACATGCTACAGTAAAACAGCACAGCAAGTGACATATTTCTAAGAAATGCATTTGCTCTGTTTGTATTCTTCCTGACTAAAAGCAGATAAAAGCTTAAGAGCATAAAATCAACAGATGTGTATTTTACTCGTGTAAAGTCCAGACACATCAGCTTCGTTTTTCATCAAGTATAACAGCTCTCTTAGTCAGACAACAATATTTGTTTTTTCCCTTTAAAGAAAGAGAAAGTGTCTGGCTCCATGTATAATGAATTGTTCACAGGGACTTTAATGTTGCTCTTTAAACAGAATTTGGAATTATATTGCTTTGCAAAACATGATGAAAATGTGCAGCTAAGATACTGTATCTAAGTACCTCCAAGCATGTGACCCAGTAAAACCCTTTGGGAATACAGCAACGACACTATATGAAAAAGTGTTATAGTGGAGTTTTATCATCTAATCATGCAGAGGTTTTCTGGGGGGCTCATATGTCTTTGACACTCACAACTAAGCAAAAACTCTCCTCTGGACTCTCTATTTTATGAGGACACAATTTTATTGTGTGCTAAAGTGCTTTTGTGTGCCATAAATATATAGGCTAAGTAAGAGGGTTTTTCAAAGTCACACACTGTTAGTTGCTGAAGTACAGTCTTCCAGACTTAAGATACAAAAATGATGGATGCAGTGTGCTTCAGTATTCAAGGTCATGTAGCAGATAGCACCCTTGAGAGTTGCATTGATTTCTTTCTTTTCCTTTGCATACATTCAGTTGATTAAGTGATGAACAGCCGGGCTGTAATTTCATATAATTTGGTGAAAATGCTCTGTGCTCTTTAATTAGAGTTTGAATAAAGAATGATATCCTTTTGACCCCTAAAGCTGATTCGTAGTATAAGCACATTTAATATTATCTTCACTAAAAGAAACCTGTCAAGAACACATCCAAGTCAGAGGTCACAGAAAGAAATTATTAATTTAGCAAAAATGAAGCTTATTATTTAGCATATAACGCAAAACGTTACATTGTCAGTATTTTTTTATTGGAAATATGTATACATATGGGGGTTTGTGTTATGCTTATAATAAATGCAAAAAACAAAACAAAAAACATTTCTATTAAAAACGACTCGATTACAATAATGAGCATCTAATGAGACATATTTGAGTTCACATGGTGCAGGGATTACGTCAAAACCCGGAAGACTAATTCGCCAGTTCCCTCGAAATGTTTTATAATGGAGTTTTTCGATTTATGATTAAAATAAGGTCTGTTCCTCTGTGGTTAACATAAGTTGATGGTACTTGGACGTTTTGTTCTATAACGTTACTTAGTTAGGCTACTTATTAGACACGTTTAATATTCGCGTTTTCGACAAGGCTGTGTGAAATGTAGGCAATATTGTAGAACAACACGTGGTGTCAACTTGTGTTTACCACAGACCTTATTTTACTCATAAATTCAAAAACCCCATTACAAAAACACATGGGAAAATCTCGAGGGAACCAGTGGCGAATTAGTCTCCAGACTATTGGCAAATCCTAGCACATTGTTATTATCTCTTCAGAAACTCTAGATAAGAGACATGTGACATGAATAATAAAAATAAAAAAATCAGAGTAGAAATTTGAGAAGTGATGGTGTTTAGGATAACTATCTCATCAGTTATCCTAAACACCATCACTTCTCAAATTTCTACTCTGATTTTTTTATTTTTATTTTTTTATTTTTATTCTCTAGTTCTCATCTGTGATTTTTCCCCACTGTATGGTTTAAGGCCTATATGCAAGAGATGTAAATAAAGTGTGACCACTAGCAGTAGGCAGCCTACTGCATATCATCATTCTGGCATTCTCCCAAATGCATGCAACTCTCACCTGTCAATGCAGAGCACAGTCACTATCCCCACTGTGGTAAACTGGTTACTGACGTCCACCACCACCACGGCTTTACACATGAAGTGCCCAAAGACCCACTGTCTGTCCCTGACCAGCTGGTGGATGTTAAACGGCATCACCAACAAGAACAGCAGGTCTGCGATGGCCAGATTCAGCACGTAAATATCAGAGACCATCTTCTTCTTGCATGATGCCACAGCATAGATGACCAAACTGTTGGCCAGAACTCCAACTGAACATAGGATGCCGTAGATAGTGGGGAATATGTGCATGAAAGACGCGATGTCTATGATGCTGTACGACGGGACGGTTCGGTTCACACACGAAAAGTTGGACAAGTTGGACGCATTTGTAAATTCGGAATCGCAAAAAATATCCGAGGTGTTCATCTTCAAAACTTTTTGCATAAAAAAGGACAAAAAAAAAACATAAAAGTTGTCGTCTCAATCTGGTCTGTGCACGATTGCGCAAGCTTTTACGCAGCACTCTACTTCATATTCAAAGCGTTTAAAGTTGTAAAAGTTCTCCCTCGGGTGTCAGTTATCGTCCCGTTTTCATCTGCTTTGTTTTTCAATCAGTTTGGCGATGCCTCGGTCTCTTGAGATAGTGTTTTAGTTCATATGTCCAAAAGCAGGAGCTTCAGTGCGTACTCTGCGCGTCTGTCTCCTCCAGAAGCTGTTTGAAGAGATGCGAGTGTCTCCACCCTTTCAGAGCCTTCTCTCCAAGCTCATCCATCACACTCAATATCTGAGATTTTTTTTTTTTTTTTTTTTTTTTATGATGATGATGATTCATTAATGCACAGTCCTTCACAGCAAGACGCTCCAAACTCCAGTGGTCACAATCAATTTCTTTATATGTTATCATGAACTTTGGGAACCTGTTGCATGCACGTGTTAGTCCTGGTATAGTTTAATCTTTTCTTTTTAAGCAATATTGGCAGATGCTTTTATTCAATATTGGCAGATGCTGCAAGCACCGTTTAAGATACTAATGTATGTTATTACACTAAGATGGGCATGTTCACTGTTCATTATGTTTCAAAGTTAAGATAAATTGTTACAATGATTTTGCTGCCCAACCCTTTTATTGATTATGTTCTTGTAACAGGTAAAGTCATATTAATTTGTGCACACTTAAAACTAAAGCCTAATCTCCCTAACACACATCCTTAATCAGGAATCAGCACCACTTCATTCCTGTAAAAACAGGCACTCCATCATCTTGTCTAGATTTGAGGAAACGCTTTTCAGGAGAGAACAGAGCATGTCTTTTGAAGATTAGAAACTTGAATACTGATTAAAAAAAAGTAACTTAAGGTGCTCACCATATTCTAGACAGCACTGATGGTCCCTTCCAGAGCAGAAAGGATATTGATGAGAAAAGTTAATACCACAAAAATGTATTGCATACATTTGAGATGTACAAATGAGATGTGTAATTGTGCATGCAAAAGAGAAATGCAGCAGTCCAGTTTAAAGATGGTCTGATTGGGTATCGTAATTTTGTTTAATGTGCATTAGTTGTATAAATAATAATAATAATAATTATTATTATTAAATATATTTTTGGAATAATGAATTAAAAATATATATTTTAAAGAAGTCTATGCTCATCGAGGCTGCATTTATTTGAAAAAGAAAATACAGTAAAAACAGGAATATTGTGATTTATTACAATTAAAAAACTGATTTCCAATTTAATATATTTTAAAATGTAATTTGTTTCTGAATGTTCAGCATCATTACTCCAGTTTTCAGTGTCACATGATCCTTCAGAAATCATTCAATTATGCTGATTTGGTGCTCAGTTATTATGAATTATTATTGGTGCTCAATTATTAATAATGACTCTTATTAGTCTCAATGTTTAAATCAGTTTTGTAGAAATCTTTTGTAAAATTATAAATGTCTTTACTGTCACATTTCATCAATTTCAGTTCCTTGCTGAATAATAGTATTTATTAATTAATTAATTATTAGTCTTTCTTACCCCACATTTTTTTAATGGTATAGTATCCACAAAAATATAAAGCTGCAAAAAAAATCTGAGCACCAAATTTGACTGTTTTTACTGCATTTTTCATCAAATAAATGCAGCCTTGAGCATAAAATACAACAATTGTAACTGAAATGTACAAATGTAGGCCTACTTTATTATGAAAGAGAGAGAGAGCACATAGCTGCAGTGTGTTATTGTAAAGTTTACAGCGCCTTAAGTCTCTTTTACTCCACCAGAGAAAATAAAGGTGCTCATGTTCTCTCTCCTCACACATCACAGCTCTCACACACATTCATTCACTCTCTCTTGCACACGTTCATTTACTGCTGTCATAAATCCACCGTATTAACCTCAAAAACTGTTCAAATGTCACAGTTTTCATACTTCATTTTTCATGAGGAGGTAATTAAAAACCACAGTCTTTGTTACAATGTGTGGAATCTGAGGGAACAATGTGTGTGTACGAGCATGTTTATGTCTCCATAAAATTAAACTGGCTGAAGAACATTTATTGGTTACGGTGGCTTTAGCCTGAGGTTGATTGCATGTCTTGTGATTTGGATGGGTGACCAAATACTCTTCAGTCACTCTGACATCTTTAGTCATGGTCTCAGCCTGGTAAAGAGCAGAATACAACTCACATACATCATATAGCCTATATGGGTACTGCATATGTGTTTATTCTCTACCATTTACTCTGGACCCATAAAGTATTTGGACACTTTAGTGACAGTGTATTGATCTCAAAATAAATATTGTGGAAAAATGAAACTATTTAAAAAAAAAAAAAAAAAAAAAAAGTTAAGAAGCTAAAATTCTGGTTCATGTTTCATTGCCACAATAAATCAGTATAAGACTCGGATTGAATGATATGAATGGCTTTTAAATGTCTGCTCCGTCTGACTGTCTGCCAATAAATCTTTTGCCTAACAATAGTTTATAGACCACTGTATATGAATTAACTTTCATTGTGACAACGTCAGATGAAAAACAGCACTGACCTTGGAATTATTGCACCCTGTAATAAATAATTCAAATCAATGAGCTTAAAGGAGAAGGTGATGGCTTTGTTCGAGGAGCAGCACAATTATGGAAAACTCGTCAAAATCTCCAGCTCAAATGGCAATTTGGTTCGACTCATTTCTTCAAAGTTGGTTCATGCTTCTTTTTTCTAAGTCTGCTGATTATGGAAGGTAATTTGCAAATGTTGATACATGTGGATTTATTCATGTTAATAATGCATGTCCTCATTCATAGTAATCAGCATAAGTAGATTGGTTTACTTCTGTGTTCCCACAGAACTGAAAACTCCTTGTGTTCCTTCGTATTGTTTTTGATTCAGTCTTTTATCTCCGAAGCAGTTAAAACTGTGCAATTTGCATTCCATTTTGTGACATAGGTTTAATTGCAAGGCATAGTCAGTCCTTGATGATTATGCCACAAAATGGAACACAAACAGCAAGATTCCTGGTTGATACAGACTATCCAAATACCTCCCTGAAAGCACTGAGGAATGCAAGCTTTCAGGCAAATATTTCTCTAAATGGTCTCAAAAACAAATACAAAAAGATAACAGAGAAAACATGGACATGACACTAAGATAAATGACCCAAAGGAAAGGGGGGTGGGGGGATTAGATTAAATAGAGAGCATGGCTGTTTTACTTTGTGGTCACATGCCAACAAAGATCATATGATGTCTTGTAGTAGCTACTGGTCTGCAAGATGTTTGGCAAGATAGCAATCTGTGTTTCAAGACTACACATCTCGATCCCCAAACACTCATGTTTTCTTGACGCCTATCATGCCCAAATTAGTTATACAAGTAGGTTTTGAGACAAAGCCATTATGAATGAAAGGATTAATTGCCAGCAGAGGGCGCTGAAGTGCAGCAGTCAAGTCAGTGTTACTACTCTGAACACAAACCCGTTTTACAACCCGCACACAGATAGTTGGGTAAACAAACTTTTCCGCATTCTTGTTTTAGTGTAAACTGATAAATCAGTTTAAGCTGCTTTAGTTGAATTCGACAGTGAACTTCGACGTTTTAAAATATTTCCTTCACCTGACGTGCTTCATCTTCCATTTTAAAGAACAACATCTGAGGTGGTATAAACATTGATCCGTGAGAAAAAAGAGACAAATTGCACTGTAAATATAGTGTTACTGAAATAATTTAAAATCGATCTTACGTAGAGATTATAAGGAATAGTAAGAACACAACAGCAATGCAAACATTATCAAGGTTTACTCTCCCTTACAAAAAATTATTATACCTCAAGTTCATTTTAAGTAGCCTATGTTAAGTAAAATTCCAGGTAGCCTATATTTTTAAGCATACTTAATGTAGAAAGTATACTAATATCAATGTACTAGAAGAAGGCCTATACTTGTAAGTGTAGCCTGCCCTATACTGTTTATGGGACTAAATTGGCCCACTTTTTAGTGTAGGCTATAAAAGTATACTTCTATATACTTTTAAGTGTAGCCTAACTGTAATAGGCTAAGCTTTCAGTACACAAGTTTACAACTAAGTTCTAGGCTACTGCAACTATACAAGGGAACTTAATAAGTAGATAGTTTACTATTCAAATACTAGCACATTTTTAGTTTATGGAAGTACATGTATACTCTCAGTAAACTAGCCAGTTGTTTTATACTGCAAGTATACAGAGCCGGACAGTAACGGAGTACATTTACTTGAGTACAGTACTTAAGTACAATTTTGAGGGATCTGTACTTTACTCGAGTATCATTTTTGGGGAGTACTCATGACTTTACTCAAGTACATTTGAGAGGCAAATATTGTACTCTTTACTCCAATACATTTCTATCCATAACCGTGAGTACACGAGTAAAAAAAAAAAAAAAAAATCTCGGAAACCCTCAATTTGTTGTTTCCCTCTCAAACGTGATTGGATTGTGCAGGCCCCACTGATTGTGACAGCCTATCAGCAATCACTTTCAGCTTTCCGCCAAAGTCAACTCCATGGTCAGATTTTATATTACACATTAATGTAAGCCAAGCATTTGGTTTGATGTTCTTGAGTATGTGGTGTGTTTAACACAGTCAGGTTCAAATGTGGCAGTGGCGTAGCCACGAGGGATTTCTGATTTCTTAAAAAAAAAAACTTTAGGAGGCAAAATATATTTTTACTGATTATGTGAATTACACTGCGCAAACCAAAGTAGGCTACTACCCAGCGAATGAAGAAGGGTTGGCGCTCAGTCTCCAGAGTACATAAAATATTCATTTTGTTTTATTTTATTTTTCCGGTTTGCATTTATGAGGAAAAAACAATGTTATGGACGTGTTCTCCGTTACGGACGTGAGCGCTCTGAAAGCGGCATAAAAAATGCTTTAAAACTTTCACAGAGACCTCAAACAGAAAACACAAAACCTT